GCGGGAGAAAGATGAGGCTTTCTACTCCCGTAAAGATTTACACCCTTGGGAACCCTGTACAGGGTCGCTATGGGTCGGAACCGACTCGACGGCACTTCACAACAACAACAACATGTTAATGAGGTCATACTGAAGTAGGGGAGGTTCTAAAGCTAACTCCTTCTGGTTGACATCTCATAAGAAGAGCAGATATACACAGAAACACAATGCATCTATAAGCCCAGGAACACAAAGGGTTGTTGGCAGCCACTAGAAGCTGAAAGAGAAAAAGAAAGGCCTTTCCCTAGAGCCAACACCCTGAATCCACACCTGTCCTGGTGTCGTGCTGTAGGATAAGTTGTTGTTGTTGTTAGGGTTCATCAAGTAGGTACCAACTCATAGAGACCCTATGCACAAAAGAACAAAGCACTGCCTGGTCCTGGGCCAACCTCACAATTGTTGCCAGGCTTGAGCCCACTGATGCTGCCACTTTGCCAATCCATCTCGCTGGGGGTCTTCCTCTTTTTTTTTTTGGACCCTCCACCTTACCAAACATGATAGCCTTCACCAATGTACTGGACAACTAACTGCAAGGTCAGCTGTTCAAAACCACCAGTCGCTCCTCAGAAACCCTATACAGAGTCGCTATGAGTCAGAACCAACTCAACAACACTTAACAATAACAACAGTCTCCTGAACTGTGAGAAAATAAATGTCTATTCTTTGAAGCCATCCATGGGTGGTATTCTTTGAAGCCATCCATGGGTGGTATTCTTTGAAGCCATCCATGGGTGGTATTCTTTGAAGCCATGGGTTACAACAGCACTAGCAACCAAGATACTCAGTTGCTCAATCAGTCTTAGAAAAGATCCCATCAAAGCATGGATACCTTCAGATTCAAGCTGGTCCAGGCCATATGTGGCAGCTGTACTAACACGACTAACAGATGGAACAATGGTTCTTCTCTCAGAGGACACCTCAGAAGCAGGAAGTACTAGGGAAATGCTGGCCATCTCCTCCATTATGCCGGGGAGGGTCACTGGAAAGCCCAACACTGGCGTGAGCAACTCCCCATTTGGGCCCGTGACTGTGTCCATTAGTTCTGTCAAGAAAAGACATGAATTGACCCACAAGGTGATCATTATGGGAAATGCAAACTGTGCTTTCACATCGTATGCAAGAAATGATTCATGAAACCATTATCTTATATGCTCATACAATAAGTCTGTACCTAGACCAGCTCCCCTTAAACACATTGCATTAATCCAGCTATCTAAAATAAACACTTTCTCTCCTTGCAAAAAATATATTGGCTTAAATCAGAATTTTAAAAAATCTCTGACCTTCCATTCATTCTGTTTACAATATTATGGATTTTGCAGGGTTTTATATAACTTACTACCAAAAGCATCAAATTTAACAAAAATTCATTAAATTATATGCCAAGAACTATTTTTGAGAAAACCAAGTGTCTCTGGCAAGGTCAAGATAAATACTAAGAACCTAGATCTGTCTGAAATGTGTTCAATGTCAAAACAGTCCAATTTAGCCCCAGGTATTCCCAAGTCTCCAGAATCTTCAACAGTTGTAGTTGCAAATGTGGTAGATAGTTCAGAACTTCTTGAGGTAATTTTTAAAATACACCCCTCCTCCTCCAACTTAGTGAACTAGCATCTCTTTGGCAGTGAAACCTGAGAAGCTGTATGTTTAAAAGCTCCCCAGGACATGGATTCACAGGATCTCTCATGCATTGTTGGTGGGAGTGAAAATTGGTGCAACCACTTTGGAAAATAGTTATACATTACCTCCTAAAGTCGAACATTAACAATTTCACTCCCAGGTACATATACTCGAATACCCAAGAGAAATTCCTAGGTACAATCAGTGAAGAACACGCAAAAGACTATCCCTGGCAATAATGTTCACAATAAACAAACCTGGAAGTGACTCAAAAACAAATGAACAGAGGAGTAGACAAAGACTGGATGAATAAATGTAATCTAATGGGTGTTAATGGTGTGGCACTGTGGGTTAATGTGCCAGACTGCAAAGCCATTTGAACTGCAAAGTTGGCAGTTCAAGCTCACCAGCTGCTCCTTGAAAACCCTATACAGGGTCGCTATTGGTCAGAACCAATTCGACAGCACTTCACAACAACAACAACAACAATTGGTTTTCATAGTTGAATATTATACAGAAGTCAAAATATTTGTCATATAATAGTAAACAAGAAATTAAGCAAGGCAATGATATCTAAGTTATAATATCCCTTCTATAAGTTATACACAGCTATAATTTTAAGATATCTGCTTTTAAAGATATGTACTGCTATGATGTTGTAGGATAAAGCAATGGACCCCAAGATCAGTTTGAACCACAAAGTTGGTGATTCAAACATGTCAGTTGCTCCTTGGAAACCCTATACATGGTCACTAAGAGTCGGAACCAACTAGATGGTACTTACCAACAACATACCAAAAACGCACTCCTATAGAGTTAATTCTGACTCATGTCAACCTTATAGGATAGACTAGAACTGCTCCATAGGATTTCAGAGGCTGCAAATCTTTACGAGAGCAGCCTCATCTTTCTCCCAAGGAGCGGGTGGTAGGTTTGAAGCGCCAACCTTGCAGTTAGCATCCCGATGCTTAACTCATGGCATCACCAAAGCACTTTAAGAATAAATATAGATGTGAAAAAAAAAAAAAAAAAGGAAAAGGAAGTCAAGAAAATGATAAACACAAGATTCAAAATGATGGTTATCATGGATTGACATGGGAAGATTCAAGAGCCTAGATTTTTGTGATGGAGGCAGAATTGAATATTTATTACATTGTTAAAAACAATACAACAAATCATTAAAAGTCAGCCACACTCGGGTTAATGAGACACAGCCAAAGTTCCAAAAATATAATACAGCCATCCCTCATTATTCTTGGTTTCTACTGTTTGCAAATTCACCTACTTGCTAAAATTTATTTGTATCCCCAAAATCAATCCTTGCGGCACTTTCCCTATCATTCATGGACACACGCATACACAGGGTGGTGGAAACATGAGTCACTCAACAGCATACTGTCCCAGCTGAGATCAAACAAGGCTGGTTGGGTAGTCCTTGATTCAGTGTTCACCTAGACTCTGGGGAACATAACCACCGAAAATAATGAGAAGCCATTGTTCCATACAAGTGTTTTTTTAAATACCCAAGTGATTCTGAAGACTGAGAACCTCCCTGTCCTCAATAACTCAAGAGCTTTTGGTGGCTGTGAACAGTATTTCAAATCCTTATAATAGCCTATAAAGCAGGTGGTATTTAGTGATGAACAAACCAAGGCTTAGAGAAATTAAGAAAGTTGGTTGAGGCCGTAGTACCAGCATGGGACAAGTTGGGATTCAAACCCAGGTTCTTGTTAGTTTTACCTCATCCTCTGACTCCTACCAACCAGAGTTGCAAACTAGGAGAGTTGTCAGGTCTGGCTGCACAAAACTCAGTGGTAAGCCATCCAAGAATTTTTACTTAAAAGAGAGATTTCCCATCTTTCCTGTTCACCCTCCAGATGAGATAGATGTATGTGCAGCTCTCATTCTATTCCTGTCAGCTCACAGCAAAGGCCCATTCCCAAAACACTGAAACCAATTCCTGCCTTACAGACCTTGCACAGTGGGCGTAACTTCCAAAGACAAAGGTAGGGTTGTAGATGATGCCAGAGGTTCCGATCTTCTTAATAGCTGAGTAACACCAGGCACACCTGACATGGATGAGGGAGACTCTGATCCTTCCTCAGTCTCACCATTTCCTCTGGTAACCTCCAGGACCGAAATCTGTTCCTGTGTCACCAATGATAAAGTGGCTTCTGCTTCTTGAACAGCTGTTGTCATCTCTTGAGTGGTAATGTCTTAAGAGGGAGGAAACAATATTTTTAAATAGATCAGATCTCTATACCTTCCGAAGTCACTGTATAATTAACAAACTAGAGGATGAAGAGCAGATAACTATGTCAGGTAATGAAAAAGGAGAGAGCGCTCAGAAATCAAATGCCTGTAAATACATGTTTTCATTGTTGCTGCTTTCATTTGCACTTAGCTACTAACCTAATTAGGAGCTCTGTTAGCGTAGTGGTTACGAATCGGGCTGCCAACCTCAAGGTCAGCAGTTCAAAACTACCAGTCGTTCCGCGGGTGAAAGATGAGGCGTTCTGCACTAGTAAAGATTTACAGCCTCGGAAAACCTGAGCAGGGTCACTATGAGTCGGAACAAACTCCACGGCACATAACAACAACAATTAACCTAATTAGAGTTAGAGTTCTAAGTCCATTCAAAACTCAGATACCTCAGCAGAAAAGCTGCTTTCATTTTTGGCTGCTTTCATTAATATTAACAAACAAACAAACAAACAAGAATTCCAAAACAAAACAAGATCAACAGCCAAGCTACCTTTCAGACGTATTTGAATATTAATATAATCAATCTGCTAGGAAGCAAATGATGCCTAAGTTACACTAGAAAATCCTCAGAAGCAATCGCATATATTATTTTTAACGTTGACATTTCTCAAGGAGAAAAGGAAGTTAGCATTTTCAGATATTAAGAATAATAATTACAATTATTAATGTTTACTGCGCTCCCATTAGTTGTATGGCATGCATTTTATTTATAGTTATAAATAAAATATTTATCATATTTTATTCTCTATCTGCACTAATACTATCCCATGGAAGGTGTATGACACAGTAATCAAGAATGCAAGAAACTAGAGGCAATTTATCTGAGTCTGAATTCTGGCGGCCACTTACTAGCTCTGTGACCTAAAACAAATTACCTGGGCCTTAAGATAATAATAGTATCTATCTGATTGAGATGTTATGAAGATTAAATTAGAGAACACTTAGTACAAGACTGTTGTTGTTGTGAAACCTGTATAGGGTTTCTGAGGAGCAGCTGGTGAATTTGAACCACCAACATTGAGCTTCAGCACATTATCCCACAGCAACACACCAGGGCTCCAGTACAAGACTGTTGTTGTTAAGTACCGTGGAGTCGACTCACAGCGATCCTGCACAGGGTTTCTGAGGCTGTAAATCTTTACAGGAGCAGAATGCCTCAGCTTTCCCCCACGGAACCACGGGTAGTTTCAAACTGCTGACTTTGCGGTTCGCATCCTGATTCGTAACCACTATGCTACAAGAGCTCCTTAGTACAAGACTGGTACTTGTTAAATATTCAATGAGGGGAAAAAAAAAAAAAAAAAAAAAACCATTTCCATCGAGTAGATGCCAACTCAGAGTGGCCCCAAGTGTGTCAGAGTAAACCATGCTCCACAGAGCTTTCAAATGCTGACTTTTTAGAAGTTGATCTCCGGGCCTTTCTCCTGAGACATCTGTGGATGGACTCAGAACTCCAACAATTAGGATAGCAGCCAAGCCCTTCAGTCATTTGCACCATCCTGGGAACTCCAATAGGAGTCCTGGTGTGGCGCTGTAGGTTCAGTTACTGGACTGGTAACTCCAAGGTCAGCAGTTCAAACCTACCAGTCGCACCTTGGAAACCCTATAAAGGGTCGCTATGAGCTGGAACTGACTCGATGGCACTTAACAACAATAACAACTCTATCCTTATTTTACAGAATAACTGAAATTTAAAGAAGTTCAGAAACCTGCCTAAAGCTATATAGCCAGATTCTTAATCACTAAGCTATATAGCCAGATTCTTAATCACTAAAGCTATATAGCCAGATTCTTAATCACTAAAGCTATATAGCCAGATTCTTAATCACTGTGCCAACTTAGAAATCACTTGCAGTGGCCTCTGTAAAAGGTTTGCATTTGTTTTATTTTGTTTTTATATTTTATTTTGCTGTTGTTGTTACTGGGAATATACACAGCAAAACATACATCAATGCAACCATTTACACAAGTACAACTCAGTGACAACAATTCCATTCTTCAAGTTGTACAGTCATTTTTCAGCTTCCTTTCTGAGTTGTAACTCAACAATTAAGCATAAACTCATTGCCCACTTCGGTTTCTACCTAATCTTTTGAAATGCTGTTGTCACTTCGGTCCCATTTGTTGCTGCTGCTGTTGTTGTTGTTGTTGTCAAGTGCCACTGAGTCAATTCATAGCAACCCTCTGTGGTGTGACGCTAAAGAATAAGCACTGGTCCAAAAGGTTGATATGAACCACAGGGTTGGTGGTTCAAACCCACCAACTGCTCCATGGAAACCCTATACAGGGTCACTATGAGTCAGAACCAATTTGATGACACTTAACAACAGCAATACAGTGCTTCCATGGCTGTAAATCTTGTGGGAGCCTCAGCTTCTGTGGAGTGGCTGGTGGGCTAAACTGCAGACAGCTCAGTGTTTATCTTACGGAGCCGCAGTGCTACCTCTTGATCCCATACAGATCTTAAAAGAGTATAATGCTCAAGGCACACATTTTTTTACTAGTCAAGCTAAACTATGGTTTGGTTTTAGAAGTCTTCAAGGGATATTTTTGGATTAAGCTTTATAGATTATCTCAGGGTAATAGTTTAAGAGTTTATCCAGCCCTGCATTTGTTTTTAAGTAAGAAAGGGGGATGAAATCAACCCATAGCTATCTATCATAGGTCTACTTTCTTTACAAGATTATAATCCTCTCAGATGCCTTATTAAAGACCATAACGATGAAGATTTGCTTCCTTCTTAGAAAGTTACATTAGAAATTTCAAATACTGAGTCACTACTAAAACCTTAATTTCTAAATGATCTTAACTAGTTCTAAATACATAGTCTATTAGCAAATACTTAAATTATACAATGGAGGTGGTAAAGAAAAGTATTCTAGCGTAGTGGTTACGAATCGGGCTGCTAACCTCAAGGTCCACAGGAGAAAGATGAGG